TTTTTCTCTTTGTTCTCAATACCGAGTCAGAGTCATAACTTGGTCCTGTCGTGTGAGTTGATCTCATTTTGTTTTTGTTTTGTTGTTTTGCTGTCGCTTTCTGGCATTTTATTTGTATCCCTTTGTATTCACACGATCTATTCCGCTCTCCTGGCGTAATCCCGGGATTTGTTGTTTCGAATGTTCACCTTTTTATTATTGTACACCTACACAGACAAAAGAACTAGAGATATCCATGCACCAGGCGTTCGTGCTGTTGCTGTTGAATAAAAACGACAAACTGACCATAGGACAAGTGCAGCAGCACACAGGACTAGGTATGTCTGCCCTGCAAATCCTGAACCCCTTGTGGCTCTCTCGTCAGTATGTGCCAGCCGTTCTGCCCACTAATGCACGCGTGCTATATGCGCCATATGCTGATATCTGATATCGGATGTACCTATATGCTACTAGTTGCTGCATGTGATTTACCTATTCCATCCACTCTGTGTCTCTGCGTGCAGGTACGGTGGAGTTGGAGCGTGTGCTGCTGAGTTTGGCCTGCGGGAAGAAGAACACGCGCGTGCTGCTGAAGACGCCAAAGAGTGACTCTGTATGTCTGAATTGTCAAAGAGTGACTCTGTATGTCTCAATTGTCAAAGAGTGACTCTATATGTCTCAACTGTCAAAGAGTGACTCTGTATGTCTCAACTGTCAAAGAGTGGCTCTGTATGTCTCAATTGTCAAAGAGTGGCTCTGTATGTCTCAATTGTCAAAGAGTGGCTCTGTATGTCTCAATTGTCAAAGAGTGACTCTGTATGTCTCAATTGTCAGTGTGGCCTACGTCGGTCACACCTGCTATGGGGTTGTCGTCCATCTGGTGGTGTGGTAAAGTAGTTTCTTCCTGTCGGTTGCATTGTATGCCATTGGATATGCCACTGTTTACGTATCCTTATAGTACGTAGTAGCATCGTGGTTAGTAAATGCGTTGTACGGCTTGCGCTGACCCGTCAGCCTTCGCCTGCGTCTGTCCCGTCGATTACATGCGATTAGGCGGCACGCTGTTTTTGTGTCCTTTGTTACAACAGGTGGTGTGGTACAGTGTGTTCTTGAGGCATAGACCCTATTGCGCGTAGTGGTTTCCATCTGGTTTTGTGCCCACTCATGCATGTATTTTGTATATTTACTTTACTAGTCGTAACATCTTCACGTATCCATGCATATTGCTTTGGATAACCATACCTGTATCTGTTCTGTTCACCACAATCATTCGCACTGTCGGCATCGCACTTCTGTAGCACCGAATGAACATATGCGCGTGTATCACTTTATGTTCTATAATTTGGCTAAATCCGTATATGGCGTGGTCGATAGAGAACCATAGCTGCTGCAGACGGTCCCAATTATCTGTACTACTGTCACAGCACTCCGTACAGGCGAATATAAATTCATATAGAACTGCCTATTCATTTCAAAAACACGATTGTCAGTCAAGGTTTGCCGCTGTATTGCGGGCCAGTACGCTTGAACACATAACACGCACGAGTCGCGCACTACCGTTTCCACACAACAGTCTGGCGCCATTTCATCGTGGTGCTCAATAATGTGTGACGATTGCGTTATAACATATTGAAATCAGATCATCGCATGCAGTGTTTAAAAGTTCTTGCATTGCTACCTACCAATGAGTTCCCGCGGCACTTATGTTGCCTAATTGACTATTCTGCAGTCATGGTCACTTACTTTCTTGGACGAAAGTCTTCATCGCACTGGTACCACAACCCATCGTTTGACTGTGCACCCCTACACCCCTGAACTCAAATGACACGCACCGCATCTCCGCTCAGGTGGCAGCAACAGACGTCTTTACGGTCAACGAGAAGTTCGATAACAAGCTTCGCAGAGTCAAGATCCTGCAGATCCAGTTGAAGGAAACAGTGAGTGAGGGAGGGCTGGGCTCTTTAGGCCGTGGTCAAATGCGCACGATCAAAGCTGGGCTATATACAACGCTGTATTGACTCGAACGCATATACATGGGGGTCTGTTCGAGAATTAGATCCATCCGTTATGTATCTGTGGACATGCGTGTGCTCATAGATACAACCGCGCGTATTAGTCTGTTGCCCAACATATTCTCGAATAGGTTTAGGATGTCTCCACACGCCTGCGATTCTGCGTGTGCGTCTCTATGTGCGGATGTGTTATATAATATTTTAAGGAAGTTTGTTTGTTTGTTTTTATCTTACTTAATTGTGACTATGTGCGGATGTGTTATATAATATTTTAAGGAAGTTTGCTTGTTTGTTTCTATCTTACTGAATGGTGTCTTATGTGCGGATGTGTTACATGATATGCCAAGGGAGTTCGTTTGTATGTGGCCTCCTGAACGGTGGTTAACCGCACAATCGAAACACATGCGCAGCGCATGCACGCGATTATGTACGGTACATTTAAATTGTTGAAAGCGTTTATTTTTATTTTTATGTATCTGGGGTTTTGAATTAATTACGCATACGTGTGCATCTGCTAACGTACGCCATATGAAAAATCAGGTACACCCGTTGAAGTCACCGATATGTTAACTATATATGCTTCTTTTTGTTCTTTTTTTTTTTTGCGTTTATGATTGTGAATGTGATCACAACAATTCAATATGTCTGATACAACTGTATCCACATTTCTCGTGCACATTTGTAGATATGTTCAAGTTCAATATTTGAAGTTCTTTGAACAAACATACGAACAAATGATCTATACACAATATGAGCACATGCATATGTGCAGATTTATATGACTATTGCCTGTATATAGAAGTTACTAAAAGGAAAAGGTATCGTCACCCAATCCTAATGATCTTATATAATGTATATGTGATAAATTCTGCATTGCTTGTATGGATGAGCACATTTCACCTATCAGTCGTGCCCTACTTGTCCCAAGTTGGGACTATACTTTTGAACGTGTTTACATCTTTACATACCTACACATACGTGCACATGTACGTCATTTTTAGGTTTCCGCAGTCAATTGTATGCACTTGTATGCCAACCAAAGGTGGATGGTTCGTTCAGGTACCCATCAGTACCCGAAGACTCTCGCTGACAACCACGCACCACACCATACCACACCTCCCACGAATGCACAGATCGACGAACAACGTGCCACACAGGAACAAGTGTTCCAGGACAGGCAACACCAGGTGGACGCGTGCATTGTGCGCATTATGAAGACCCGCAAAACCATGGGCCACCAACTGCTCATCGGCGCCATTCTGGAGATACTCAAGCTGCCCATTAAGGTGAGCGGCACGAGTGGGTGATTGGCGGTGTGTGTTGGTTGTGGCATGTGTGTGTACTGCCGAGGCAGATTTGTGTTTGAGAGGGGTGTGCTGCGAGAGTGTGTGAGAGATGCCCCCCCCCCCGGGTTCTGAGACTGTACAGGTCGGAACCGGGGCGCAGTGTGTAGGGACTCATTCTGTTGGTATGTGTGCTATATGATAGATGAACACAGGTGATTAGATGCGCCTGGTGTGTCTGTTGCTAGTACACGGTCTCTGGCCTCGGAGTTTGCGCGTGTGGAACCACAATGTCGGTGGGCTGCGATGGGGGTTGTTAAGATCTGTGCCTATTGAAAACGACGCTATTCAGGACGTCGGTAGCCGTGCTGTATCGCAAGTAACTCGAAATCGCGAGTTGAATGAGCGTGCACAATTGTGTTCAGAGTTTTCCGATGTCCTAAAAAAAATTGGTCTATCAGACCACTAAAATCGCTTCATCGTTGTAGTGTTTCGACTCTATATATACCACTATCCCAATGCCCGTTTCAACACTTATGCGTTATCTCAGTAAGGAACGGTTTGTGCCAGCATCTGTTGCATACATATCAAAAAGTCAGATACCGCGCATATCGCGAGCATTAGTTCATCCGCGAGAGTGCTAACTCACAAGGGAGCCACAGGCTATCGTGGTATTCTACTTTTCTCCTAAGTTTGTGAGTGTATATTATGTAAACCATAAAGCCCTATGCTTTTCCAGAGATGGGTTAAATTTCGTGTCTTTGGGCTGCTCATGCTTCGTGCTCGTATTGTAGCGCTTCGGGAATCCCAGTGACACTTGTGGACTGTCAAGAGTAGTGTAGATCAGTAACGTTTGCTTTAGTTGCTCAATTGTATACCAGTTTGTTATACTGTATTTGATGCTGCTATAGATGTACTTGATGCTACTATAGCTGTACTTGATTCTACTATGAATGGGTGGGCCGTATTCTTTGATACCCAAGATTTTTTCCTGGTGTTGTGCATCGACAGTGTGGTGGTAGGTTGTGATGTCAGTTTGGGAGTTCTTAGACGCGGGGCAGGTGTGTGATGTCCGCTAGTGGCTGCTAATGGTAGGCACGCATATTCTATAACTGCCAATTGATATCCTGATTCGCCTCCTGAATTCGACAGCCCACTGATCTGAAGAAGCGCATTGAGAGTCTGATCGACCGAGAGTACTTGGAACGCGACGAAAATGACTCGACCAAGTACCACTACATGGCCTGAGCGAACTTCGATACAGAAGCTGTGGGACACGCTCGACTACATGCGGCGAAAAGAGTCGCCAGGCGAGGGTAGAGTGCTGATGTGGCATAAGGGGAATATGATCAGGGTCAACATCCATGATACACGATGCGTTTTAATGGAACTCAATGAGTGTGCTACGTGCACACCAGTCATCCACCAACTCGGCGAAAAGCGCAGCAAGTATGTGCAGGCGCATCATAGCATGGGCGTATCCAGGCAGATGTTTCCAAGGCAACGAGGCGTCATTCCGTATCCAACACAGCCGATTAATGAGCACTGTGGTCTGCTTCTATCTCTCCACTATAGAGGAACATACTGAATTTCTGTACGTTCAGCCAGAGCTAGAGATACCTTGAACTTGACACTGACAGTTAGGGGATAACCTCCCACGGCTAACGAATGGCTAGCGTGGCTCACCAGGGCCTGTGAGAACGAACCGCGTAGGTGTACTGCATATGGCCTTTAGAGCTTCCACCATGGGGGTCTGGTTTTAACCTCCTCGGCAATGTCGTGTGCATGCATAGATCAGTCAGCCCCTCCGACTCATGAGATGTACTGTCTCGCCGCGCTACCGTCCTCGTATGTATAATGTGTGCGTGAGAACACACTCATTTCGAATATCCTGTATAAGGGGCTTCCATGCGATTACCGGGAGACCAATGAACTTGCGACGCCAAAAGTTGTCCATGACTCTACTCCGCGGAAGCACGATGCGAGGAACTGGTGCTGACAACGCAGATCTGCACCAGCGTAAAATCACAACGGATTATAACGTGATTCGTGGGATCACAGACTACGGCTGAAAGACTTGGAAATCGAGACAGGCCATTGCTTGGAATGGTCAAGCGGTACGCTCGGTTGTGGTCATCTCGCTCAATGCTGGATCACATGGGATCGTTGCGAGTAGAGACTAAGAGGTGTAATGAGCGATGCACACAGGACAGACGATGCGCAGTAAAATAAACCACGTGCAGATGTATGGAACTGAATTGATGTGCGCAGTGGTCATCTGGTTGGCATATATTGTAGACAATAAAGGTATAATCCAACGTGCAATACTAATTCAGTGTCTATTATGAATTTCATAGATCGCTCGCGCTTAGGCGTCATACCGAGTACGAAAAAAATCTTTAAATAATCGGCGTATTACATACAGTTTCACTATAAAATTGGTTTTGTAATCAGGGCATAGAATTCTGCTGAAAATAATTTTGACCGAAGTGGTTCACTATCACGACTAATTTTCTAAGCGCTTTGCATAGCATAGTGCAATCTGCTTGCACGTCACATGTGTTCTATTATGCTCTCGTGTTAGGGATTCCATTTATGCCATACTTCACCAAACAATAACAATACTAACATCCAACATTAGTTTTATTAATCATCTAGAAATAAAAACAAAAAAAATATGGCTGACGAACTAAAGTCCGCATAACCATGAGTTGTCTTAATTGTATTTTGACTCAGTTCTAGCCTATCTTAGGCCTAACTACTAAAAGTGTTCTTAAGCATAGAGGTATAAGGTTGCCGCCGCCACCTTCGAATTCTCGGACTTGATCCTAGACGTTTGGGCAAAAGCCTCCAGCTTAGACCTTTTTCTGGCGTTTTTCGATAACCGAAGGTTATCGACTTTGGTCTTCTGCACCTTAGCCCACCTCTCCATCGAAACAGTATCGGGCTGCCTTACCACATGCCCTCAAAGCGGCCCTCCCATGAATTTTTCTTCTTTCGCGAACGTTTAGTTGAAATCTCAAACTGAATTCCTCTAATTTATTGAATAGGGATAGTGGAGTAAATTACTTGTATAGCAGACTGAATCTTCCAAAAGCGAGAGCTCTACTTTTGTAGGACCATCGTCCAGAGATAGTCTCGTACTTTCTACTAGATACAACACAGAGCATCTCGAACTTGCTCTCCAGTAAAACTCGAGTAAAGTGATACCATGAGTTTGCCGATGTCTCTTGCTGGTGGCCTCTCTTATGGTCGGGAATGGCGCGAGGAAGACGGTAACTTTGGGTGCTGTGTGGTGAACAACCCCAGACCCGATTTTTAAAAAAATGACATTAGAATTGTTGGGTGTATAATATGTTGGTACTTCGTAGACAAAATTTGGTTGCGGAGTTCTAATATCTGGTAAGAAGTGTACGTGTAATATCTAACGTCCGGTCGGAACCAGTTGGTGGCTGCGGACGAAATCAGTTTTCCTTGTGTCGGGGGCCGATTCTCTGTTTTCGGCAGGATATTAGTATCAGTATTTGTTATTGCGTCTGGCCTCGTGTTCAATTTCTATCAAACTCCGGAATTTCACTTTTAACCAAAATAAAAAATATCATATACCACATTAAAGTGATACCATGAGTTTGCAGATGTCGCTTGCCAGTGATCCCTTTTTTTAATCGGGAATGGCGCAAGGCGGACCGTATCTTTGGGTGCTGTGTGGTGAACATCTTACCTAGGCTGTTGCCTGACCGGATGAGAGCTCGTTGAGCTTGATGCAGTGGTTACTGGTAATACGGAAGGACAGTATAGGCCGGCCATTCGCGGCGATAAAATTTGTGAGCTGCCTTGCGATTCTATTGTGATACTTTGTTGTGCGCTGCCAGTAGATGCGATTTACCGTCGAAGTCCATCGACCGATGATCATAGCTTCCGATTCATTGATACCAGCTTCGCAGAGAGCCGTACGTCCTCCAATGCGAAGTGTGACCGCTAAAGTTTTGGTCTCCCAAACCAGCGGATTCAGTTGGCCGAATTGACAGGCGAATACAGATGGGCTGAATCAGGTTCGTCAACTGTGGGGGACAGCCAATTAATGAGTGCGCGATATGGGCATATAGTAGACATCTAATCTATCTGTCCAGGCTGGTTTTGGAGATGGGAAGTGAAATTTCACTAATTGATCGAAAATTTCAATTGCCTTGCCGCGGTAGATGTGCGTCATCTCGGAGTAGGTATCGAGTTCCGTGTGGACTGTCAATTCACCGGTGCACAGTACTGCCCAAACACCAACCAGAATCACTGTGTACAATCTTAGCTGTTCCAAACTGAAAAATCTTTCTGCCGCAAATGACCCAATTGTGTAGTATGAGGAAGGAGTGAATACTATTTTTGCCCAATCTGGTGTACCCAATTTTACAACCTATACGGTTAAAACGCTACCTCCAAGGTACTCACTTGACTTTGTGAGCGGTAGAGGAATTCTATATGTTTAATGAAACTTATATGTGGTCTTATCCAAGTGAATACCACGGCGTACGGTATTCACTGTCGAATACAAGGAGCGCTTCTCGAATAGCACCCTATTCTACTGAACATCAAGTCTGTTCCTGTGTCACTGCAGATTAGGAACCACCTTTCCTCCCACCAATACTGTCGATATATTCTGCTGCAATGTCGCTGAGTGTTCTAAAGCCATAATTGTGTGCCGTAAGCACATGTCCGCCTGTAATGTCACTCACTTGGAGCGTTTTGCACAAATCAACGTCTCCCTGTGTTCCTATTAGACCTCTTGTAGCTTCCTGCACTAATGGATTTATGTCTGCAACTTACGATAGGTGCTGGTGATGTTTTTGTTTACCATCAAACTTTTCAGCCTTCACTGTTCGTGTTCGCCTATCCTTGGTATTCTTTTGGTCTTCTACTACGGCGGTTTTCATATGCTCGTGAATTACGAGCTATCTGCCGTCTCTGCGGAGTTGTATTGAGTTTAGATTTGCATGGTGCTACAATGCGTTGCTAGAAATCGCCGTGTGTTTTGCATCAATATTGAACAGCTCAGGTTTCGCAATCATTAGTGCAAGTTTATACTTCGGAATTAGCCTTGTATGTATGTTCATAATCACACATACCTCTGATTAATCAACTGAATTATTTGTTAGAGCTGTGTTTGATCTGACCTCAACATCATCATGCATTCAGACTTGGTCTCAGTGTTTGATAGTCATAAACGTTCGGGTAGTAGCGACCTCGGTACACACCCTGATCTGGGACGGCTTCCTTCTTATGCTTCACCACATCACTACTACTGAAATGTACGCTATACACCGTCATTGTCGCATATGGCTTTATACGCCCGAACAATGCACCACGCCAATTTTCTTTCAGGCGATGCTGTGAGACAGCTCCATCGGTTGTTCTACCACACTCCAGGACACAGCAATATCCGCCGGACATAACTATTTAGTTTTTCGTTCATATGAAACACAACACCTATTGTATCTACCTTGCCCGAAGCAGAACTCCGCTGATACATTTATTGTCTTCATGAATGTGTGTCAAGCAATACCCAAGGCGTAGTCAACGCCAGCCCACGACATAGCCAACACCAGCCCACTGCGTAGCCAACACCAGCCCACGGCGTAGCCAACATCAGTTCACGGCGTAGCCAAGGCTTATCCAGCACATAGCGGAGACGAAGCCAGGAAGTGTTCATCGCGTAGTCAATGCATAGTCGGCAAACATGTGACCAAAATATAGAGTATGACATATTTTAGGCCGTTTAAGGTCCCATATATGTTCTAAAAACCGCCCAGTACAGAATCAGGTACACTTGAAGAAGAAGAAAAACAAGAAACAGAAGAAAGTGCCAAATTCCGAAATAAAAAGTAAGAGGAGCTTGGCAGAAAGATTTTCATGTTCGGAATTGTTATAAGTTGTGAGGTTTGCGCAGGTTGGGCTGAGAGGGCAGCTGGGTCTCCGTATCTGAGATATATGAGTAAGTGGGAATTTGTGAGCGGAATCCGCTGAATGCTTGTGAGTTATTGGTCGGGAAATGTTGCGTTGTAGCGAGCAAGAAGGGCTTGTTCGTGATGAAGTAACATGGACGCAAGGCCGGGCGTACGGGAGCCCCAAGAACGGCTAGCATGTAAACAACCATCATCAGTTCCAATGCGCATATGGAATGCGGTTTGTGGTTTTGCGCTTGGGATGGTTGTGTGTAATGGATTCGAGTTTTGAACCTCATGTGTCATGCCGCATGATAAACTTGTCAGTCCATATAGAACCATTGACCTTAATGTGCTTGAAGCATATGTGTGATTGTAAGCCCTGAAAGTGTTAATCTATACATGAGAGACGTGCCTGACCACTGTGATAAAATTTTGTGTAGGGATGCGGTGTTGTCCGTATAGCTTGAGAGACGTGTGAGTATTTATGTTCGGGCCATATCTTTTCACCTGGGTGTAGCCTAAATAGGCGCTGGACGCAAGGCCGAGCTTGCGGGAGAATTGCAGTGAGCCAGATTACCTTTCCGGCCAGTTATGATACATCGTAGTATGTTGCCGTTGAGCGTCGAGTGAAAGACCAAAGTGATTTGGCATACTTGTCACGTTTATCGTTGGAGATACTAGCTGTGCGTCGTGCTGGGTCAGAAAGCACGCCAATACATACTGCCCTAGAAGCACAACCGACAAATTTCGCTTTGAAGATTTTTTATGTCAAAAGTGGCGAATGTTATGATTATAGTGGAAATCTGTGCATTGTACAGTGCGGTCGGGTGTAGGAACGCCAAGCCGTCCAACCTAACGAGTGAAGATCAGACGGAATTGTCCTAGATTTGAGTATTTGACCTGTTCTTATTGTATATGTTCATTGATACTTGTGTGAGGTCCTTTATAAGGTGACGACATATCGTTATTACGTCTGAACTTTTCTGTGTCGTCGGGCTTCAGTTTCGTTCTACCACTCAGAGAAGATATTGTGTAGCATGGAGTGTCAAGTTGTGATTTTGTGACTGGGCCTAACAGTGTACTGACTTGTACATCCTCTGCAATAGACTCATGTACATGCCGGGTATATTTTCATGCGCCCCAGGATGGGTGTTTTGTTATAAGTATGTTGTGTCGCGATTGCCCATAAAACCAGCATGTGAACCGATACGTATATTTGGAGAGTATTTGTGTCTTTAACGTTTTATCGTAAAGTGCTGAAGCTGTTGTGAATTTTCCTAAATTGGAGGCGGAGAGAAGTGGGTCTGAGTGTGCGAGGGCGTGGGAAATGGTCGTGGTGACATGAGGAAGGTCTGGAAGAGGATCCAGTGCGTGCAATTGTTGGTTCTTAGGCGCGTTGTTGAGCAATGCGTATGTGCTGAGCGTCGTAGAGTTATTGTATCCTTCGTGTTTAGTACTATAGTGCTCGTGCGCACCGGGTGTATTTCTAAACTAGTAGTTGCGAGAGTTGCAGACGTGTTTGTATGTACACTTGTCCTGTGTGGCAGGGTAGACGTTTTTTGTTAAAGCGTTTGCAAACCTCTCAGAGAGCAAAAAGCGTTAGGTAGACGGTTGCCTGGTGCGCATAGAAATCTGATGACAGCGTCAGAGTCTATGTTTACTAGTTAGGAGTATGATCCCTGTCCAGTGTGGCTATGCGTTGGGTGTCATCTCGTCGAGGTACGAGATGAGGCTGCATTGGTATGCTAAGTGATCAGCGTACGTCATGGGGTACGCTTTGAAGGAATAGTTAAGCAGGAAAGATAAAGCAAAAATGCGACAAAAGGTAGTAGAACGTCAGCTGAGGACGTGGAGGTTTATTTCTTAGCTTTCATTTTGGCTATGCCTGTGTCGCCGATTATTCACTCGCTTTCTCCTGTAGGTGAGAAGGGCAAAATGCACGTTTCATTTCCAAAAAGAACACAGTCTTGCCGTTGCGAAAACCTTTTTTTTGACAGAGTCTAGGAGGGTGGGCAACATAGAGTGAAGGGCAGCGTCGGCATCTAGTTGAGTTAGGTCCTTAGTATGGGAAGAGAGCGTTACCAGTTGCATCTGTAGTCGGTGGGGTTTCTCTTTGGCTATCACTGCCGCATCTACTTGTTGCTGTTTTGCTTCTTCACGAAACAGTTGGCATTCTCTGTTAATATCCTGTTGTGCAGTGATCAGGGTACCGACTATGGCACGGTCAGTTGTTGGTTGTATGGAATTCTCCGTTAGGTCGTTTGGTGTTGTGCTCATTGAGCCGTCAGCTGATGCTTGGTCTTTAGTTCCGCGTTTATGCAGAGGATGTGTTGCCGTGGATTCGTCGGCAGCCGATTGCTTACCTGTAGTGCTATTGACGATATAATTAGCTGTATTTTCCATGGTAGAAATAGTGTATTTTTTTCAAAATATTTTTCGTAAATGGAGTATTGATTGCGGAATTCTAACCACTTGTAAGAGGTGTACGTGCGAAATACAACGATCAGTCAGAACCACTTGGTGGCTGCAATTCTCTGTTTTTGGCCGGTAATTAGTACCAGGATTTGTTATTAGGTCCGACCTCGTCTTAAAGTTTCTATCAAACCCCGAAATCTCACCTTTAATCAAAATAAATGTATCATGTACCGCATAAAAATCAAATATAGTTCAATATAATTACATTTAAATAAATAGGTTTTGATAACTAATGCTATATTTCTCATTATCATTTATTGATCGTGCTTCACCGTTTATAGTGAAACAGACAAAGATTTCGTATACATCTGTGCCAATAGCTAATAAAACTGATGTGGAAATGTATACTTTCAAATTCTCCTTTGCTTTCTTGACAAACTTATATTGAATGCTAGATTATACAGTGCCATTTATGTAAATCAACGTAAACATACCTGCGTAAATCTAGCACACTTGCGTTGAAAACTGAATTTTGCGATATATCACGTACCACAATAATTACATCGAGCAATGAGTAAAATAATTTTACCTTGTGCGAAACGGATAAGGTAGCTTCGCTGGCGTACTCACCTAGGAATGTTACCACTAGAGAGTCTGTCCGGGTGTATATTGGCGTAAGAACTATGTACCACTTCCTAAATCTAATTGCTGTTGATAATGAGTATGACATATGTCATGTTGACACTAGATATCAGTACCAACGCACGAACTTTTTTTTCTCTTTAAATTTCAACCGAAGTCCGTTTTCTACAATACCTTTGTGGTAATTAAAATGTGGCGGTATATTGCCTGCATTATGCAATTTCTTTTAGGTAAATTTGGTCATATGAAGAACGGTATATATGTATGTGCAAAACTTCATGTGAATAAGTGCCTTTGTTTTGTGAAGTTCTCATCTTAGACCCAGAGGCAGAAAGTTGATATAAAAAAATTGTGGAGAATGTATATAGATAAAACATCGTTATCAACGTTAGCGCTGTAATGTTTACATACCAAAGGGTTTGATAGTAGATATTTCCTCTTAAAACTTGTCCGCTTCAAATAAAAAATTGTCTCGGATATTTTAGCAAACACCACCGGCGTAAAAGTTTACGAAGTCTTTTGCTGACTTAAACTTCAAAAGCAGAAAGTTAATAGAACGTGATGAATGTATATGTAAATAAATACATCGTTTAATATCGTCGATAGCACTATGTCTTTTACATGTGAAAGCTTTGACGTCTAAGGCATAATTTCTCTTAATTTGTGTACTCTATCTATCCGCACTACCCAGGTATTCTTCTCCACGGATATCAAAAAGAAGCGACCTCGGCTTTTCAACAAACTGTACCTGTTTGAAAGTCTGTAAAGTCTTTCGCTGGTCGCTTGTAGTCAATGAAGAGACGAAGAGCCTTCGACGCTTTTACTTTTGTAATTGAGAAAATTTCAATTTTTAATAGTGAGGCATACGTATATAAAATGTATCAGGATGGAAACTTCACGTATATCAGGAATCATATTCAACCATGAATATTCGATGTATCGTTCTCTTTACTATTGAATTTTGTAATTAAGTTGGTGAAAAGAATGAGGACTAGCATAGGGGCCCCGAGTTCATGTTCCACAGTCCATGCTTTGAGTCATCAATGCATTTGGCCACATGGTAAGTGAAAGTTTCTTATTTTTTAGAACAATTTATACGACAGACTAAGTGCCACTGCCATACCGCGAAGTATTGTAGTGTTCAAGTAGAACCAAACATAGATAGAAGAAAATTTTGTTCATCGAAACCTTAGTCAACTGGATATCAACGTTGGTGTTGAAATTACGTCTGCGAGCAGAGCCGCGTTTCAAACCTCCAGTTCGAATTTGAGCATTTGTTTAGTGACTCTCCCCATTAAAGTCCGAAAGTCTGGAGCTGGCACGCTGTCAAACCGGAAGCTTCGCAAGAATACAGGATATTCAATATTATGTATGGAATTTTGAGCTCCACTCCGTCACGGTTAGTCGCCAGGCCCACATGATACTCCTAGATGGCGCGGTAAAATTCGGGGTAGCAAATCCTTCACCAGTAAGGCCAACAAAAAACATCATGTTTTGCCCTCCAATGATTCTTATTTTTTGTATGCGACGTCACTATTCGCATACAGTTTGAAAGTTGCGCATTATCTGCCTTTAATATCAGTGATTTGTACAAAACTTATGACTCGTGCCACAGGATACCTTCATAATCAAGTATTTAGAATTTCAGTCCGCAGAATAATTTGATCTCGCTGCTAGGGATAATCTTATCTCCTTCAAGATGGCAGTAGCATCAGTAGCATACATTCTGAGTATTTTTACATAGTTTATTTCTGGTCAGACACAGTACAGATTGTATTTACCATTAGCCGTCTCGCTGGGGAAAGTGGCTTGTCGCACTGGCAGGGTATGAAGGAGGTTTCCGAACCCCGGCATCAGAGAAAGAGGGGAGCCTCGTATCCCAATTACTGGTTACTGTACTTAAATAAATCGGTCCTTACTACACTGAAAGACTGATTAGAAATATAGACTGAGTGGGTGGCGTGGGAGATAAAGAGAAAGACTGACGAGTATTACTGTCTGTAGTACGTGTCTTTAGATACCCTCAGCCCTTTAAAGGGTGAGTTTATTAAATACGAGCCTGGCTGACGGGAATTTACCATCTAGATGGAAAATTGCCGTAATCAGCCAGATCAGCCTGAGAGTATATCTAAGAATGAATATGTATTAAATATATAGATATTCTTAGTGTTTCATCCCCACAACGTAGTAGCCCGAAGGTCCACCATATAGTCTTGTACTTGTACACATGAAATGTCTACCGAAGAGTGCAAAGAGTGCAGACCAAGGACCCAAAATTGCCCTTGTGAAAAAAATAGAATGTCTATAGATAAGTATCCCTCACCCCACTTACCGCGCTAGAGAAAATACGGTTGAAACCGCTCCCGGACTGCTGCTCTGCCCACAGCGGAGAAAGCGAGCCGTTGTATCGCTCGTCTGCCAATGTGGTAGCTGTTGCTCGTAGATATGCCTTGAGAGAATTCTCCTTGGCCACCAGTATGGTGGCTATAATTCTATCTGGAACTCCAAGCCCCATACAGCTCGCCACTAAACCACGCTGAAACCATGCCAGGTTAGTCGGCGAACGACAGACTCGTGGGCACCGGCAGCGAAGAATACCTGTTTGAGCCTTCGAAGAT